AAGGCAAGGGGCTGGCCCCAGTCCCTGTCCCCCAGCTCCCAGCCTGCATCCTCCCCTGGCTTTACCTCTGAATGATTGACAGCCAGGCCGGTGGGGCCCTGGCAGGCCTGTCCTGGCAGCTGCTCCCACAAGGCGAGGCCTGGGAGCTTCAGAGAATTAATTAGGCTGCATTCCTCCTCCAGGGCTCCAGCAGCCCCCTCCTGAGCTGCCGAGGGCTCTTGGCACTGATCCCTGGCAGGCCAAGGCGAGACCCACTCTCTGTAAGAGGTGCTGGGAGGGCCTCTGTAGGCTAAAAGCGCTGGCCCAGGAAGGGCTGCTGATTACCCAGAAGCCCAAGGCCAGCTCCTGTCCTGGCTCTTTTGCTTAGCAACCTTTACCAGCTCTCCATCACTGGAGTTCAAATTCCTGGCACTGGATGTTCCTCTCTACCTGGCTCCTGCCGCTCAGGCCAGCTGCCTCTTCCCACCTGGACCCTTCCGTGCTGTAGACAGACATTCCTGTCCCTGCTCCCCTGGCTGTGGTGCCTTGTTCCTCATGCCAGTGTGAGCAAACCCTTCTGGTCCTGCTCTTTAAAGTCTAGCTCACAGTGTATTTCTTTTCCCATCTCTTCCCCTTGCCAGTCTGGGAGAGCTTCAGGGTAGCATGTAGTGTCCAGAGGTGAGAAGCACCAATGGCAGAGACTTCCAGCATGACAGTACCCTCCTTTTCTGTGATTGTCTGTGTATGTGCGTGTGCGTGTGCATGTGTGCGTGTGCATGTGTGTGTGTGTGCATGTGTGAGACAGTTGCTGCTAGTGTCCCCCACCTATAACACCACCCCATGCCAGGGTTGAATATGGCACTCAGGACATCATGGCTCATTCCTGCAGACCCTACCAGACTTTTCCAGCCCCCTCCCTTCTTGGATACCCTGGGAGAAGCTGAGCACAGCTTTCATCCTTGAGGAAAGGAACTTTCTCTAATGTTGTGCTTCCGGTCTAGGACCTTCTTCCCCACCCTATTCAAGTGATGTTTGTTCCTTCAGGTCACCTCCTCCAGGAAGCCACCCTGGACTCCCTTCTCCAAGTTTCCATCTCAGTGTCAGAGTCAGAAGAGCATGAGATCAAGAGGCTGGGGGCTTATGCCAGTTTAGCTACCACCAAGCTGGAGATGGACTCTCAAGACAGCTGGTAAAGTGTTTGCCTGGCACACATGAAGTCCTGAGTTTAATCCCCAGCACTTCATATAATCCCAAAACACAGAGACAGGAAGATTAGAAGTTCAAGGTCCTCTTTGGGGATATATTGAATTTGAGGACAGCCTGGGCTACGTGAGATCCTGACTCAAAAACATGCCACAATAATACAAATGAAGCTATGGGGTCTCACTGTCCCCCCCTACCCCTTCTGTTTTTTAAAACAGGGTCTCACTATGTAGCTCTGGCTGTCCTGGAACTCATTCTGTAGACCAGACTGACTTCAAACCCTCAGAGATCTGCCTGCCCCTGCCTCCTGAGTGCTGGGATTTAAGGCGGGTGCCAGTATAGTGGGCCGTCCTTTTCTCTTTCCTCTCATTCCCTCTCTTCTTCCGCTTCCTTGTTTTTAAAGAGATAAGGTCTCACTATCTTGCCCAGCTAGCCCAAATTCCTAGACTCAAGCAATCTCCTAGGTGCAGGTCACCACGCCCAACTTACCTTATCCATGAAATGGGAGTAATAATTCTAGAATCTTCTGCACAAGGCTGCTGTGAAGAGCCAATCAGCTTGCAGGATGCTTCAGGCCCTGTGTGTATCTCTGTGTCGGGCAGCTCTCCGGCCCTCCAGGCAGGGACTACCTCTGTCAGCACAGCTCACCAGTGTCTCCACAATGATTATTTATCGCCACTTAATGAATGGATGGCCACAGTCCAGGTGTTTATTGCTCTGAGGCAAATGGTTTATCTGAACTGACCCTGGACTCTATTGGAGGCGGTGGCTAGGGTGGGGTATGTGTGGGCATGTGTGTGTGTTTGTGTGTGTGATGAGTTCCCTGGGCTTGTGGATGAGGCATGTCTGGAAGCAGCCATGGTCCAGGCAGCAGCCTCCTGGCCTGGCCTGTACCTGATCCATATGTAGTTCCTATGTAGTCCTCTACCTGCTCCGCAACTCCCTTTCCCCTACGAATATACCCCAGGGAAACTGGGGTCATCTCCATTTCTAGCTTCTCTCTGTCTAGGATTCCAGCTGACAGACCATGATTTTGCTTTAAAGAGGCTTGGGAAACAGGTTAGTGAGATGGCTTAGTAGATAAAAAGTGCTTGCTGCAAAGCTTGGTGACAACTGGCTTTGATCCCAGGAACCATGTGGTGGAAGAGAACTGACATTTTCAAGTTGTATTTGACCCCTACAACACCCCCCACACCCCGCTGCTTGCTATGGCATGCACGTAGCATAATTTCTTCCAAATGAATGTAAAAAGAAGTTAAAACTTGAAAAAGATTTATTGTTTCTTGAAAAGGCAGAAAAAGGAGATTTTTGTTCCCCAAATCCAGACTTCCTAATGTGGTTCTTCCCAGGTTCTTCCAGCTTTTCTGTTCTTCCCAAACTGCAGGCCACCGCCCCCCCTCACCCCACACATACACATTGCTGGGTCTCTGCCACCTGGAGGCTGTGGGAAAGACTCTGGCTACATATGGCCCCTTGGTTCTGCCCTCTGTTGCTCCAGTACAGAGAGGTGGGACAGGACAGGGTCTCCTGAGGAAAGAGCACAAGCCAGATATCTCTTTCTACAACCAAGGATCTAAGAGAATGGGTGTCACTTCAGCCAGTATTTGCCACTCTGTCCATCTCTAGACTTTGACCAGGGTCCCAGGCCTGAGGTGAAAGCAGTGAGCACCCTCCTCTGTGGCCACCACACTCCTCACCAGGACATTCATGTCTCTTTCCAGGGTGGCCCTGGGGCTGTCAGCCCTGGCCACTGGCTGTGGATTGGGGCTTCAGAGGGGGCAGGACCAGTCTGAATGGAAGGCTACTGTGCCGGGAATGGGAGCTTCCCATGCCAGCCCAGGTGGAGTGTGACAGGGTGCTCTGGCCCGGGATGCTGGGCAGCAAGTGGCAAGGCTATGCCCCTGGCCTCGTGTCCAGGAGGTCTCAGCACTTCCGGGGCAGAATGTGACCTTACTTCCCTGCCACTTCTTCCCCCATTCACTCTCAGCCCTGACTAGCCCCCTGAGGACAGTGTTCTGGAGCCTGCCTCTGACCTTTGTCCTTGCCACTCACTAAGACTGCTCATGGCTCCCTGGGGCCGCAGGAAAAAGCTTCCCTTCTGACTTACCCCTGGAGACCCTTGGGGATGTTTCCCTTGCCTGCTTCAGCCACAGGGCTTCTCTGGAGGACTCCTCTGTCACTCCACACTCACCTTGCCTTCCCTCCCTGCTCACACCTGTCCTGATTCTGGTTTCCTTCTCTTCCAGTCTTGCTTATCTTTTTTTTTTTAAATATGTTATTTTATATTTTTAATTTTTTTTTTTTTGTGTGTGTGTAGAGGTATATACATGCTACAGTGCATATGTCGAGGTGAGCAGACAATTTCCAGGAATCAGTTCCCTCCTTCCACCTCATGGGTCCCAGGGATCGAACTCACGCCGAGAGTCTTGGCAGCAGGTGCTGTTACTCACTGAACCACCTCACTGGCCTCTTGCTCATCTTTGAGGGCAACAAAGGAGCATCACTTTCCTGTGGGATCCTTTCTCCTGCTCCACCTCCACCTCGGCCGTTCCCAATCTACCCCAACATAGTCCCTTGGCTCTGTCCCCATCCCACATATAGTCACCACACAGCCCGAGAAGTTCACTCTGCTTCCCAGGCCCCGGGGCCAGAGCTTTCCACTTCTTGTTCTGACAGTCCTAGGAGTGAGAATTATCACTTTCCATTCTCTCAATGAGACAACCGAGGCTCAGAAGGAGAAAGTTCAATGTCAAACTGCAGTATAGATCCACGAATTCAACCAACACACTTTTATTACACATGCATATATACTACAGATTATGAATCCCAATCCTGATGTTTTTATTTACTTGTTGTGCCTCCTAAGGGAAGTCTCTGCTCTTCTCTGTGCGTCTCTTTCCTCATCTGGAAGGCTTGAGCTGTGGAATCTCATCCCAGTGTTCTGAAGACAAAATGGGTTAATCCGACAAAGTATGAAGCATGCCGGTGTAGAGTGGGAGCTCAAAACGTACTCGTGTGTTATTCTCCCAGGAGGTTGGGATTGGCTTTGTGAAGAAGGCAGGGTTATAGCAGGTATGTAAATGATTATTGCCTGCTCCATAAATATTTCCTGACAGCTGGCTCAGGTCACAGCCTGCCACTCCCAGTGTGAGCCAGCCATTCCCAGCCCTGGGAATAGGACACAGCTTGCTTGTGGGAGATTCAGCTGACCAAGAGTCCAGGCAGCTTCGGGAATGTTCCAGACCACAGGCTGTCCCTGGGCCCAGAGAGGGTGCTGCTTGGCTCCAGCCCTGGGCTCAACCTGTCAGAGAAGTGTCAAATTTCATTCCTGTACCTTCTGAGGCCCAGAGTAAGAGTCAGGGCCAGGCCCAGGTTGAGGCTAGGTTTCAGTGCCCATCACCGACCACCAGGTTGCACACAGACATGTATCCATCTGGTTCCACTTGTTATCAGACAGATGTGCTGTGGTCTCCCAGTCAGGCCCTGGCTGAACAAGCTTTCTGGAGCTGAAGATGGTCTCTGCTCTCTCATGGATCTAACTTCATCCAAATACGCTCTTGAGAAGGGCCTGGCCATTGTGTTGTCTGCTGTGACTCCAGATGTCACAGCTGCAGATGGCTGTCTAAGTCATGACAGGCAAAAGCCCGGAGAAGGCACGTTAGTAGCCAGAGAAACCCAGCAAGGGACAGGGGGAACCTGGGTCCCAGCTACCCATGTTGTTGAACTTTCTTCTTCTCCCTGTGTCCTTTTAACTCCCGAATGATCCCTCCTGGGAGGAACCTCTCACCTCTGCTTGGCTAAGACAAAACTCCTAGAAGTCCATTTCATCCTTTATTACAAACATTAGTTCATAAGTAAACAATCGAGGCTCTAAAAAAAATACATTAAAATAAATAAGAAGAACTTCAAAGTTCTTAGAGCAAATAACTTATATACAGATGAGTGAAGCAGAGCAGGCCCTGCCCCCCCCCTCAAAAAAAAGTGTCCCAAGAGAACAAAATTGCAAGGCCTCTAGGGAGGGGGATCCAGAGAGGACCATGGGGGCCAGGCAGGGTGTCAGTCATCAGGATGCCCCGTCCGCCCAGTTTCCAGGTATGGCTTAGGTAATTGTGTCCTGCTGTGGGTTGCTCCTGGATAGCAGCCCAACCAACAGGACACTCCTCAGGACACAGTTAGCATGTTCATTTGGCCTCACATAACTCCTTCAAGCAGGACTGTACCCAGCAGCCAGCCCTGGGAGGCTGTACTGCTGCTCAGGTGTTGAGGGTGGCCCTGGCAGTGTAAGAGAGGCCAGAGTTTGTGCTGAACCCATCGGATGGGTCTGGCTAGCCCGGGCTGAGGTCTTGGTCCAGAAGGCAGGCACAGGGTCTCCCACACAGCTGCCCATTTCCCCCCGTCTCCACGTGGGCTTCCTTCTCCATAGCTCCGCAGCTCACAGGGTTATCTCTTCCTCCGTCTAGAGTGTGCAGGACTGGACTCTCTTGTCACCTCTGGCTGTAGCCTGGCAAAGCGGAGCTTGGTGGCAGAAATGTCCCTGGAAGTGGAGAAGGATCAGTTAGCATCTCAGGAGACACAGGCCATCCAGGGCTCCCTTGGAAGGCAGGTAGTTGGGCCTAGAGCCTCTGCCTAGATCTCAGGTAACAGCGACCCCAGAGTGTGGCCGCAGACCCAAGCAAGGTCTGCACGTCAAGGTCTGGGCCTAGGTCTGAGCTTTTCTGCTCATGGGGCCACTGACGGTGCTTATGCTCAGTATCAGATGTTGCAAGGATGAGGGGCATTGCCCATGGTGTGCTTTCCTTTTCCCACACAGTGTGAATGCCCTTCCTTCCTAGTGCCCATCTTCCTCTGTCTAAACTGCATCATCCTACTCTGTCTGCAGTTTACCGTCTGCTGCAAGGTGGCTTTGTCCACACAGCATGGTCCTCATGGCCCTTTGAGCTTGGCTGAGGTCACTGCCACAGTTCTGGGAACTTTCTACCATCTACTTCCTGACCCTAAGAGTTATATCTGGGAGTGAGAAGGTGGGTCTCAGGACCAGGCTGTGGACACCTGGGTGGGCAGGGCTCACCCTCTTTGAGGCCCTTTCTTTACTTTTAAGACACCAACTAGACCCAGTACCTGAGGAACTGAAACAGTGGGATAGCCCTGAGCTCAAGGCCTGCCTGGGCTACATAGAGTGAGATCCTGTCTCAAACCAAACCACACCAAACCAAAACAATAGCAAAAAACAACCCAAATTGCCACCAGGATGAATGCTTGGGTAGTCAAGCAATCTCTCTGCACACTGGGAAGTGCTGAGCTGTCTACACACTGTGAAGTGATGTGTATTTGCAAAGCATCCCTTATTCTCAGGCAGCTCTTGAGTATGTGCAGGGGCCTGCCTAACCTTCCATCTCGGCTCCTTTTCTTCCTTTTCCCAAAGAGCCACTCCAGGTACTGTCCGGCCCCAAGGACCCCTTCATGGCAGAGGCAGGTATGGCCAAGGCCTCTAGAGCTCCACAGGGACATGCTTCGTACATATTAGCACACCTAATCTCATGAAAACCCTGCAGGATAGACATTACAAACTCCCTGCTTCAAACTCTGCAGCGCAGAGAAACCCAGCCCCAAGCCAGAGCTCACAAAGCCTGTCTGGGGCTGGGGTGGGCTTCTCGGCAAGTAGCCTCTGTCTCTCCAGCTGCCCCTGGGTCCCTTTGCTAACGGCCCAAGGCGAGGTTTCTGTCCTCAAGCCGGCTTGCTTGGACAAACATTTTGTGGGCCTTGTGCTGAGCCACCTGTGGCCACCAAGTTGGGGAGATCCCTTAGGGAGCATAGAAGGAGCAAGGGACACAGGGAGTCAGTCCCTCCAAGCCCCCGTACAGGGAAGATGCTTGAATGAATAACTGGTTATTCCCAGCTAAAGCCCTCAAGGCCTGACCCAGACCTGATGGTCACAGAATGTAGTAGTGAAGAAAACAGGCTTGGGGCTGGAGAAACGGCTCAGCATTAAGAGCGCTTTCTGCTCTTGCAGAGACCCACACGGCAGCTCACAGCAATCCATAATTCCAGTTCCAGAGGATCCAATGACCTCTTCTTAGAGCACATAAGTTACATGCAGATGATGCCCTCTTCTAACCTGTAAGGGTACCATTCATGCATGTGGTGCACATACATACATGCAGGCAAAACACTCATGCATGTAAAATAGATCCAGATGTGATGGATGCTCTGTGACTCTAAACAAATGGTGTCGCCTCTCTGAGCCTTAGTTTTCTAGGATAGACAATGAAGACCGAGTCCTACCTCCCACAGAGAATAAGGCAAACGTGTAAAGCATACAGAAAGTGACCAACCATTCAATTACCCTCACCTTAGCTTTCGGAGGAGATCTCCCTCAGCAGCCCACTTCTTGCCAGTCTTTAACACAGCTCCGGGAGCCCGGCTGCTTGGGGTGACCACAGTTTCAGGCCTGAATGAAGAGTGGTAACAAGTGAGGGGCTGGCCAGAACCCTGAAGCTACCTGGCTTCAGGCCCAGCCCAGCCCCCACCCCTGCCCTCTGGAGCAGATCCATTTCCACACTGCGCGCACCTGGCACCCTTCCCTCCCGGGCGGGGTGGGTACCAAGGAAAACTGAGCTACTGGGAATGTGTTCTCAGCCTCAGAAAGAGGCAGATGGGTGGCTGGCCTTCCCAGAATCTGGCCACCTGCAGTTGCAGGGGGAAACTGAGGCAGGGGTGGAGCCCCAGCTCTAGAGGAGGAGTTTCTCGTAAACTGTCACGGGAACTGGAACACACAGTCCTTGCTTTCTCAATGGCCCAGGAGGAGGAGGGGAGGAATGTAGCCTTCCCCTTCACAGATGGGAAAACCAAGGAGACCTGGCATCCATTCTCCAGTTCCTTGACAATAATGACAACGCTGGTACCTGTCATAGACTGCCAGCTACAGAGGTGATTTTTTTCTTCTAAACCAACTTAGGAAGTGCCAGAGCCTCGGGTTAGAACCTGAAGCCCAGTTAGGCCTGGTTCCTTGTGGGCCTGACACAAGGCTTGCCCCTCTCTGAGCCCGGGCTGTCACCTGGCTGTTCTCCTCCTGCCCAGGAGTGGGGATGGATGGTCCCCTAAGCCGTGGAGCTGTGCAGAGGGAGGAACTCTGGGTATTTCTGTGGAAGGGACTCTGCCATGGACCCAGTGTACTTATGGGCTCTAGGACAGTGCTTGTCTCCCCTGGGCCTCTGCCCTCTACTAGTCTCCCAGATACCCTGCTTCCAGGCCTGGTCCCGGCTCGCAGTCATCCCCACCCCTGCAGGCTAGGAGTCCACCTACCAGGGTCTTTGATGGCAGAAGGTGGCACAGGCAGAGTCCCCGGCAGCAGAGCACTCACAGCGCCTTGGCAGGGAGCGGCGCCGGCGCCTTGGCGGGTTTCCCAGGCCGTAGGGAGCTGTCTGTCTGTGGGCGGGAAGCCAGCAAGGTAGTGTGTACACGGACGGGGTGGGGGGAAGCAGAGAGGAGAAAAAGAGAGGAGAGACGCGGGATTAGATAAACAACACATCATTGGCCATCAGAGACGGCCTCCACTGAATAGCCAGTCACACCTCCAGGATGGCCATGAAAGGTGACCACCCCATCACTCCTTCTCATACTAAGTTAGCTACTAAAGTCACAGACCCCCCTACCAATGCCTCTGCACACTGATCTGCTAGGAGCTCCTGCAGGGGGACGTAAGGAGTGGAGTCTGCAGGTCTTAGGAAGCCTGGACTGGTCTTCTGTGCTCGAAGGAGCCCCCTGTCTAGGCCATGAGGAAGGAAGGCCAGTTCAGCTGCCAGAGTGAAGCCCCTAGCTCACAGCCAACTTGCCTCTAGTTGGTCCTCATTTGTTGGGGGAATGTGACAAATATGCCTCTGTGTGTGTGTGTGTGTGTGTGTGTGTGTGTGTGTGTGTGTGTGTGTGTTTGTGTATACAAGTGTAATTGGATTGATTTCTGATCCAGTTTGGCTAAGGGAGGCAGAGCAGGGGCCCCGAGGCTTGTCCACCCAACACCTTTGGTCAACAGCTAATTTTAGGTGGCCTGGCAGTTGGAACTGTAGTGATTCTGGGTGGACCCGGCACGCAGGGACTGGCAGGGTTCCCGCCCTGAGCCAGAGTTTGGATGTGGATTAGCTCTACACACGCTTATATGCTCAGCTTCTCTTGCCTTATGCAATTTGGAGAAGGAAAAAAAAATACATACATACACAAAAACTTCAACCTGAGGTATGCAGGGGCCTGGAGGCAGCATGGGGCAGGCAGAACCCAGCTCTGGCTCCTGCCAGGGTATCCCAGGCAGACTTCTTGTCTGTCCTGTGGGGAGCTGCCACAGTGCCTGCCTTGTGGGGAGGCTGGGGGCTCAGCAGATGGTACTGTACTTGTGGTGTTCCACACAGAGCATGGCCTGGGCATGGCTGCTGTCATGCATGGGATGATTCTCTGCAGGGGAAGTGTGGTTGAGCTCCAGCATCCTTAGACTTGGGAAGGAACCCACCACTTCTCCCTGTGTGATCCTGAAGAGCTCACCTCACCTCTCTGAGCCTCAGTACCCTAATGGAACTAGCACTTTCCTAACAGGCTGTTGTGAGGATTTGAAGGGTACACAGCTCTCTGCCTGACTATGGTGGCCCCCATGTTGGTTCATAACTAGTAACTATGGGCACGCTCGCAGTGTCCTATCTGAGCCCCATGGTGAGCCAGGCAGTTGCAGAGGTTGCCAGAGGCGTTCACCCCGACCGGCTCCCGCAGCCCCGGTGGATGCTCACCCTGCAGTGTTCACCCAGATGATGTCCAGGTGGCAGAAGTACACACACTCCTTGTCAAGCCAGGAGTTGCAGGAGCAACGGCGGAAACGCAGGTGGGGGCTGCGGCCCTTGGGTGCTGGGGCTGGCTGCTCCAGAGTGGCAGCTGCCTGGCCCTTCCCTGCACACGGGAGGGAGAGAGAAAGGTGGAGAGGAGGTCAGGGCACCTGGTCTGCCTGGGATGGGGACCCGCAGGGCTCCTCCTCTTGCACAATAAGGAAGTTGGCACCCTTGATGCGCAGGAACCACTCTGGCTAGCCTGGGGAAGTCCCAGCCACCAATGCAGTGCCTGCACCCTGCAGACGCAGCTCCTACTGGGGGCTCCCTGCTCTATGCCCCTGGTTGGCTTTGGGAAGCACCATACCCCTGGAGGAGATACCAAAGGATAGACCCCGGAGCAGCAACCAATGAGTGAGGGCAGCTCACCTTCATGCAGGGCCAAAAGCAGGGCCAGAGCGATGGAGCACCAGGCGGCAGGTGTGGAGACCATTGCAGCGGCAGCAGAGTGCTTGGCTGGACCAGGGGAGCGGGGAGCGCCTGTCGTCAGCGTCCTGCTGCTAAGCCGAGCTGGGAGCTCATTGCCGAGGTGCCCTGACCGCCCCTTTTAATACCAGGCAGGGCGCCCGCCCCTGCTGGTCCAGCCCCGCCTCGCCTAGCTGCTGCACCTTGGGCAGAGAGCCAGGGACACCGCCTCCTCCCTGGGTGCCTGGCCCGCCCTGGCCTCCCGGTGAGGGGGAGGGAGGTGGAAGGCTGGGCTCCACCCTCTGTGCTGTACTGGAGCACCTTCAGGAGTCCCCAGGCTCTCTGCAGGCCCAAGGCCCCTTGGAGTTCTGAAGTTACCCCCAAATGCTCCCAACCCCTCCCCCACTCTCCCCGCGGCGCGGCTCCAGAACTGGAAGTCTGGAGTGGAGCTCTCCAAGCAAAGGCCTCGCTCTGTACAGGGATTCTGCCACCTTCCTATCTGCCCATTGTGAAGCAAGCTAAGATAGCCCTTCACTGCGTGGGAGGCGAAAGGCCCACTCAAGGCTTCATGGCCTTGGGCGAGTCAGAACCCCCTTTGGACCGCTGGCCTCATGAAGGGCACAGCTCATGCCTGACCTTTGACAGCCTGGGGCTGCCTCATCCTCATCTTACCCAAGAAATATTGTCACACACTCCCCCCTATACACTCCCTCCCCCACAACCTGTAGCAGGAGTTCTGGTCCTTTCAGAAACTACTCAGTTATGCAACCACGGCCAGGGAATAGCCTCCTGGGCCTCTGTGTCCTTGTTTGCAAAACAAGACCAAAACGGGGCTCCTTACCCTGTTTAGTTCAAATTCGCCCTTGAGATAGAGAAGATACTTCGGAGTCCCTTTTAGGAGGATGCTCCACCGGCCCACAGTAGGTGTCCTGAGGGTTTCCCACTGTGGACACAACGGAATATCCTGACTCACCTCAGTGGCTGCTTTATGCAAAACCAGAGAAGCAGGGAGGCTGGCCAGGTGGCCCAGAGAGTGAGAGTGTTTGCCACACGAGCCTGTTCATCTGCGTTTGAGCCCGGGAACCCAGGGGTGGTGTGCAGGTGTGATCTCAGCATTCCCACGGTGAGGTGAGAGGTGGAGACAGGAAAATTGTCTATAAATGCGCAAGCCAGCTTGCCTGGAGTTTAACACACGGCAGGGACAAGAGAGACCTTGCCTCAATCAGGCAGAAGGAGAGAACTGCCACCTACAAGCTGTCCTCTGACTTCCACACCTGTGCCATAGCACGCATGCACCCACACCCACACAGGCACATCGTACATACATGCACACAAACATGCGCACACAATAATAATACATAAATGGAGAAGGGGCAAGAGGAGGAAGAGAAGGCAAGCCAGCAGGAATGGCTCTCTAGGGCCTGGCGTTCTGCTTCAGGTCCCTAGGCTGACTCAGAAGTCTTGTTAAAGGCAAAAGCAAAGACACACTGTGGGGAAGGGAAGGGACAGAATGAGCAACTCAGAGCATCGGCAGCCGCTCTGTGCCTGTCCTGGCCTGGCAGAGCCCACTCAAGTAGATCCTTTCAGGGAGCCTGCCTACAGGTGCCTGTCCTGGCCTGGCAGAGCCCACTCAAGTAGATCCTTTCAGGGAGCCTGCCTGCAGGTGCGTGGGAAAGGCCCTCAGGTTCCTGGAATTCCTAGGCCTGCCTGACTCATGGTAGCAGATAGATTTATCTTATATTCTTGAGGTCCAGAACCCTACAGAGGGCATGGCCTGTGGCCTTCCCTGTACATAGGGCACATCACAGGATCCCTGTGAACGCACTCGGAGGGAGAGAGAGTGACTGAGGACTCACCTGGCTCAGGACTGTGGACCCCAGACCATCCAGCATCTCTTCATGTCTGTGCAGAGTTTTTAGTTCCTTCATTAAAAAATGGGTAAGGAGGGAAGAAGGGATGGAAAGGTATAGGTCACAGTGCCTCTTCCCAGGATGACAAGAGAGAGAGAGAGAGAGAGAGAGAGAGAGAGAGAGAGAGAGAGACAGAGAGACAGAGAGACAGAGAGACAGAGACAGAGACAGAGACAGAGACACAAAAAGAGAGAAACACAGAGAGAAGTGGGGAGAGAGCCTGTTGAAGTCTGGCAGAGCAAAAGAAGGTTGAGGCAAGGGCAGTGAGTGAAAGCCGTCCCAGGCTGGGACAGAAGAAGCAAGAACACACTTTCACCTACCATGTACTCAGGCATTATTTACCACTTCTAATGGCCACTCTAGGATGCAGCTGCTCTCTTCTGGTGTCAGTTCCAAGAATGCCCACAAGGAGTCTCAGAGAGCAGGTGTGTGTGTGTGTGTGTGTGTGTGTGTGTGTGTGTGTGTGTGTGTGTGTGTGTGTGTGTGTGTGTGTAAGGGTTCGTTGCCACATGACATAACCCCTTTTGGAACCCCAATCTTGATCTCACCAGTAAACCACAATGGACGAGACTCCCATGAGGGGCTCACTGCCCTCCTCTCTGCTGCAGCTCCATAAGAACTTAGAAGAATAGTTCTGGAATGAGGTGAGCAATTCTATTAGGCTCTGAGAGAATGTGGCTAGGGACTCGTGTGGGGGAGTAGAGGATGGGGAGCCAGAAGAAAGAAGAGTGAGCAGGTCAGTGGAGAAGGGGGTCGGGTCAAGGCGGGGAGGAAACCAGGAGATAAAGGCAGGTAGCAGGGGGAGAGCTTGGGAGAGCCAGGAAGCTGGGGGCAAGACAGGGCTGGGATTTGAGGAAGTAAAAGAGAAAGACAGGGGCTGGGGGGCGGGGGCAGTGGGGCAGGGTTCTAACCTGTCTAATCTTCACACAAATGCAAAGTGCCTGCCCAGGACAATAGGGAACCAGAGGCTCCGAGTCTGGGAAGCATAATAGGAGATTTAAATGGAGCAGGAGACAGGATCTTTCTGGGTGTGAGAAGAGAGGGATGGTAGGGATGGATGGGGTCACTGCAGCCTCGCAGGGCCAGCACAGGGAGCTGTCTTGCTGGCTCTGGTTTCTCTCCTTCCCTGGCTTGGGCTCCAGCTGGACAGGCCAGGCTATATGTAATGGAGAGGCCTGCCTAGGAACCTGGGCGAGTCCAGCCTGTCTTAGGGGATGGAGCCTTTCCGGGAACAGTGCTACCCCACTGACCAGAGCTGTTTTCCAGGTAGAGGAACTAAGCTGAGTTAAAAATAGCCTCCCTAGGCCCTAGCAATCACCCTTGCCCCTCCTGGGAGATCTGGTGGCCTGCCCCTGTCCATTGTAACTGTCCTGGCCGTGCTGTCCCTATTCCTTCCAAGGGACTTGGCTATATGTCCTTGCCTAGCTGTGCAGATGCGGGTGGTCTGGTTCTCACCAACTGCCCCGGCCACCCATTTTGCTGAATCCTCTAGCTCGGCTGTACCCTGTAAACTTCCTAGGTCTTTAACAGCTGCAGAGAGGGAGGTGGGGGCACACCTGAGTAGGAGTTCGAGGGAACTTGTTTTGCACAAATGATATTTTCTCCACCAGCTTGACACTTGCCTAGGTGGAGAAGGCGGGTGACGTTTGGGGAGTGAAGGCTGGTGACAGAGAAAGTTTACTTATGAGTGAGAAGCTGGGAACTGCCTGGAAGGAATCCCCGCCAGTCATCAACCCCAGTGCATAGATGAGACAGCTGTGGTCCAGAGGAAGAACAACCTGCTCAAGTCATAATGGGCATGTTCTCTTAGTTTCTGACCAAAACCTGCCCTTCTCATACACCCATGAGTTTAGCTCAGGGTCCATCTGGGTCCCTTTGGGGAAAGCTATCAGAAGGACCCCACTGACAGAAAGATCAGACACTGGGAAGTGCCTAAGCTACCTCCTTAGGACCCTTAGAACTCCATAATCCCCACACAGAGAGCAGCTACCAAGGAGCAGCCGTCCAGCCATCAGGGATACCATGCAGATGGAAGAGTTCCAGGAGCGAGGGCTAAGTGTTCTAGGGACATTGTCCCACTGGACAGGGATGGGCTGGAGCAGCGGCCTGGCATTTTAGGTGAGACCCTGGAGCAGGAGGCCTTCCCCAGCTCTGCTGCACAGTGTGGCCATGCTTCCTTCATCCTTCCTTGCTTGTCTCATCCTGCCTGCCCACTGATAGGAGAGATGCTCTCAGCTCCGACCTCCTGTGGCACTCAGAATCCAACCTCCGGTACTTCAGAGCCCCACAAATGGAGGTCTAGCAGATTGTGGCCATGTGGGTCTGGCTCTCAGCTAGGCCTTTCATCTCTGGAAAACCAGGAATTTCCTATAGCCACCCAGCCCCACGGAGCCTGAGGAGATGTGTTTGTACCCTGGACGGAAGGGGCACAGTGTCTGGCTTGCAGGTACATGCTGTACAGGTGACTTAGAGTGAGCAGCTGGCAACAGGACCGGCTAGGGGCCAATGTTGGAAGCCTAGTGACCACAGGTTGCCAAGGGTTTGGCCTTAGAGCCAGCCTTGCAGGGCGGGTGTTGGGGACTGGGGAAGTCTTCAGACATTCCCACTCTCACTTGCCTGGGAGGCTCTAGCTTGAGTCACTCCTCTTGGGGCCTGAGGGCACTCAGCCTCAGGGCTTCCTTCTGCTGGGTGGGTGGCTTGGGCCGCCTGCCATCTGTCTCAGCTCACTCTGAGCCAGCAAGGCCTGCTACTGGCCGCCCACATCTGGGTCTCCACAAAGGCTACCTGAGGCCTGTGGGACCAGCTCCCCTGGGCCATGCTTCCTCAGAGGATACCCTTGCCTGTTGTCTCCTCACTTCCACATCAACCCATTTGGAAAGATTTCTATCTCCCACATAAACTATACCTTTAAAGGGATAATTCATGTGCCTTGTTTGTTATTAAGCTAAGAGCAATCAGAACAGGGCCATGGAATGGCTGGACTTTCAGTGGAATGCAGGCAGTGTCTGTCAAAGCTGGTCAGATGACTGTCAGGGTTTGATGGACATTCTGAAATAAGAAAATGAACACAGAGGCTCAGGAGTTAGGGCAGAAACCTTTGAGCTCCAAGTTTCCAAGTTTCCCCCAAATGTTAAGGTCCTTGTTCCTGTTTGGCCTTTTAGGAGCATAGGGGGAGCATGAACTGTGGAGCACTTAATGTATTCTAAGCTCTGTGATGAGCAACCCACATGCATCGGTTCCACTAACGGTCCCAACACACCCATGGGATGGATGGGTGCTGTAATCAGTTCCCATCTGACAAGTGAGGAAACTGAGGCTGACAGAAAGTGTCTTGTTCAGTGATAGCCTGTGTTACTCCTCAGTCCCAGCTCCG